TGTTTAGTCATCCTCCCTGCTGATGTTCTGGCCCAGAACCCTGTATCGATCCAGTTCCAGCRAGACCCGGTGGTGGTTCAAACTGGTGCTACCATAGTGTTCACAGTGCAGAATGTGGTTCCGTCTCAGATCTTCACTATAACATGGACGTACCAAGGAACCAACACTCTGGGTTTTTGGAGCGGAGGAAGTTCAACGATCAACTCCGTGGCTCAGTTCCAGAACAGAGTCACCATCACTGTCAACACGCTCCAAATCGGAAACGCGCAGCTCCAGGATGCGGGGACGTACACCGTGAGCGTGGTCCCCGTCGCTTCCACAGGCCTGACCCAAAACTCCAGATCTGTCCAGCTGAGTGTGTTTGGTAAGAGCCAAAACTGATCAGACAAGAAGCAGGTGTGTGGTGGAGGTCTGGGTGAGCAAATTAAAGGCAGCGGTGATGTTCAGGAGGAACATGATAGTAAAAGGGGGGAATTCAGGGAGTACATGAATTAATCTGGGATGTATAATGAAATTAGTGASCCATGGAAGGCGAGGTAAGATTAATGAAAAAAAGAGGAGGAGATGAAGCAAGTAGCTCAGGGCTTCATGCCAATTAAAACTCATTTGTTATGCAGCACTGACGCTCTTAGATGTTTGATATCGTCTAAAAGTGGCGCTGCATGTAGAGACAGTAGAAACCCAGATTTGCATTCATTCATATTCAATATTGTAATGGAGCCTGAACAGCTGAGTGTCTTTTTTTTTCATTTTCAGCCCACGCTGTAGGGATGACGCACGGCCTCTCATCCTTCTGACCCCCATGGATAGCAGGGCGACCAAACCGTTGCAGCTAGTCTGCTATTCTCCAAACTTTCAAGTGCCGTTCACAACAGCCTGCTCCTCCCAAACGTCCTGATTACTCACTCCTCTTAAAATCAAAAGCTGCTTAAAACTTTAAATATGAGTTGCTGAGTCACAAGCTCTGCAAAAAATAAAAATAAAAATAAACTGGAGTAATTAGAGCTTTTAAGTGGTGGCGCTAGTGTTTTTGTTTGTTTGCCGTTGCTGCCACTGTTCTTTTAGCCACGGCTCCGTCCTCCGTCCGTACGCCCCCTCTTCTCCCCGTCCAATTATTTAACTTGGGCAGCGTGCCAAAAGKCATCTCGGCTACCACTCGCACCGTCTGCCCTCTCATGCGCCATCTGTGCGTCTATCTGAGCGCTGTCCCTTCTCGCCTCTCTCTTGCTTYGATTACAACAAATTATCCTCAACAGAAACATCAAACTGCTCTCTATTGTTCTGTCACTCCAACTTCTGAAGTGTACTCTCGCTCACACTCTCCGGCTCCATTTCTGCAGTAATGGCTATTTAAGAAACATTTTCTCTGTTTGCGGCTCTAAGGTAAAAGTGTTTTTTTTTATGTATTTTCTTTGTAGACGCAGTAACTGGGGTGACCCTGCTTGCTCCTTCGGCAGYGGAGAACAAAAACGCGTCTTTGAGTTGCACATGGGCCTCCGGGACGCAGGTCACGGTCCAGTGGAGCAAAGGAGGCGTACCCATCACCGCCAACTCTAGGATCACCATCTCCGGCGGCTCTCTGGTCATCAGCCCAGCCAGTCGCAGTGATGCCGGGGACTACATGTGTAACGCCAGCAACCCTGCCAGCTTTCAGACTGTCACAAGGACCCTCACCATCTTCTGTGAGTTCACAACCGGCCAAGACACGCGGCAGCTGTAACCACAACAAACGGCAGAAGCTTATCTCCCTATCCACATTGCGCTGCCACGCTATGTTTGTACCCGGCTTGCACGAGACATTCTTCCGTAAGCCTGTGGCGCTGTGCTGGCTTTGTCTTGATCTCATCATTAATTCTGYTCTGACTTTTTCCACTGTGGTGTCTCATACAGTGCTTGCCTACTGCATCAGTGTGCACGAAGATTAACAAACATTTCTTTACCCACATGAAACCCCAAATGCAACAAACACTTAGGCACACAGAAATATAAGGTAAATAAGAAACGGATTTTATGTAGCATCTAAATATTCAGCTTGGTGGCAAAGTAAGSTGTGATTTCTCCATCACAAGGCCTGCCATGTTCTGATTATAGCTTGTAAAAGTTGAAGTGCAGCTAATCATTATTTTCACTGGCAATCCATCACATTTTTTCTTTTTAGTTTGTGATTCATCAAAAAATTATATATAAAAAAAGACCTTTACCAATGGGGTGACATCCTAAAATTGCACTTTTTAATTTTTTGTTAGACATAACCAAATTTTGGTTAGTTTCCAAAAASATTAAGACCTAAGTTTATATTTCAGAAGCTAGAACCATCAAACTGATTTGTTGTTACCTCGAATAATGACTGAAATGACTTATTTTCACTCCCATATATATCCCATCTTTGACATATTACCACCTGGAACACTGAYGTGAGATTGTTTCAACCATCAAGTTTCAGCAAACTATAGCGTAATTATTAATAATAATTCATTAATAATTATTGCGTAAACGTTTTCAGACTCAAGTTTTTCATTTTGTTTCAAACTGACTTTTTTCTGACTTGATTAGAAGTAAACACCATTATGTAARTATTTTCCAACCTTTACTAATTACTAGGTTCAGCGAGTTTTGGAGGCATGGCAGCATCAAGTTTGTTTTGGAATGAGCTTGTTTTTGGAAATTTCTATTTCTATTTCTTTTTGTTTTTGGCAGTAATTTTCAAGCTCAATCAGTTTACAGTCAGTTTCAGGTTTTTACAGAGATGCTCGGCTGGGTTCAGGTCCAGACTCAGGCTGGAGGTACGCTTCAGGTTGTTTTCTTGTTGGAATTTGAACCATCGCTCCAGTTTGACATCTTAATCCCCCTAGAAAAGATTCTCCCTCTGGATTGCTTCAGAAGATTGCCTTCCCTCCATCCTGTCTGCATGCTTTTCCAGTGAAACATTTCCACAAATTGATGATGCTATTAAGATTGATTTTGTGATTTTTGTATGTAAAGCTGTATGGATAGGTAGATGCGTTATTTTTTATTATCATGTTTAATGTTGAGGTGTTGGTGGACCCAAGTTTAGGTTGTAAAGTATTTCAGGGACAGCTGAACAAAGAGGATGAACATCATAAACATTTTACCTTGTACAGTATTTGTGGAGAACTGCATATTTAAAAAAATCAGTTTTGAAATGAGATAAAATTTTTTTTTAATAATTTGAAAACATTTTTGTAAAATTTAACTGCGGCTCAGTTAGTAGAGCTGTTATCAGAAAGAAGGTTGCCAGATTGATACCCCGACTAAGAACCTTTCTGGGTAGAGTTTGCCTGCTCTCTCCGTGCATCCATGGGTTTTCTCCGGGTACTCCGGTTTCCTCAGACAGACCAAAAACACGACCGTTAGGCTAATTGGTAACTCTAAATTGTCCCTAGGTGTGAGTGAGAGTGAATAGCTGTTTGTCTCTGTGGTCTTGTTATGGACTTGTGACCTGTCCAGGGTGTACCCCGCTCCTCACACTGTAACTTCTGGATATGAGCACCAGTGACCCTGACAGGAAGAAACAGGCTGAGATGATGGATGGATGTCAATTTTAACACCAGACTGTTTTGAGCAGCTAAACTCTGTTTGTGCAATATTTTGAATGCAAAACCTCCCTGAACTGTCACTCAGATTTCACAACAAAAGTACTTTTGCAAACTCTGCGAGAGCGGCTAATGCAATTTAGATCTTCTGAAGTAATATTTAAAATGCAAGTCCTTTTCATTAGCTGACTAAGATCAAAGAGGGTTAACTGTAGAAATTAAAACAGATGAGATAACGAAAGCCTCAAACTTKCTCAGTAATTTCCCCTTTAGCAGACTATAATTAGCCAATTAGCGCTGCTTTTTCATAATTGTGCTTAGCTGTGAACGATGCGTTTTTGTTGCTAAGAGATTTCCTCTTATCAACTTACCAGATGGACCGGACACCCCTGCACTGTCCGTCGACAGACCCAAACAATGTGTGGGGGGAGGGGATGTACAGGTGGGAGGTACGCTGCGCGTCACCTGCACCTCTACCTCACTACCTGCTGCCACCTTCTCCTGGGAATTTAAAGGACAACCAGTAACTGGGCAGCCGAACACCGGGGTGCTCACCCTTCAGACCCTCTCCACCAGTCAGAGCGGCCAGTACGCCTGCATCGCCGCAAACAGYAACACTGGAAGCACGTCGAGGCAGACCACCAACCTGACAGTCGTAGGTGAGTTATGGTGAAYGCTCGCCTCTCTGTGACTGATGATGATCTCGGTGTGTTTTAGAATTTTCCGCTGTATTTGTCTTCTTGACAGGCGAGGGATGGAACAGACTGATCTGCTATGATTGTGGTCAAAGTCATTCAGTGACCCACCCCTCGCTTTACTTTTGTTTCTTCCCACACTTACTTCATTATTCTTTGTAGGAACTCTCCATCTTTCCTTTAGCCTCTTTTTCTCTGAGCTCCATCATTATCTTTATTAATTYTCCCGCCCATGACATCATTCTTTCTGTTTCAGATCAGAGCTGTCAAAAGCATTCWCATTCATCACTTAGGTAGAAGTATAGATACTAGGGCTTAAAAAGATATTTTTGGAAGTAGATGTATCAACTCAAGATTTTTACTCAAGTAWAAGTACTGGTTTTAAAACTACATAAAGTATACAAGTGAAAGTAATGTAAGGAGAAAAAGCCACCTCCTGAAACCCTGCGTCCTCAAATGCGAACATTGCATTTTTGCCTCTCTACCCATGATGCATCATTTTTTCAACTTTAACCCACTGTCCTCATTAATGGACACTACCAGCACCCTCTAGTGGTCCCAAGACAATATTAYACTCATTTGAGTGAAAACAAGATGGCAGGGATCTCAGTGAAAATCTTCTACAACAATTCTGGTGAGGAAAATGGCCAAAGTAAAAATCCAAGTTAGATTTCACGCTTGAAAACAGCACATTTATACACAGTTGCATCATTAGCTTTATAAGAAATGTAAAACTATCCTTTTTACAACTGAAGCTAATTACAATGTCAGTAAATATAAAGTCCTCATTTGAGGACATTGRGACTATAATTTCATTTGTAGGACAAACCTGGAAATATTTAGAACAGTTTACAAATGTTAAWAGTTAATGTAAGTGGTATATTTGGTCACAATTTTTTGTTAAACAAATCTGGAAATAATTAGAACAGTTCACAAGCACAAATAGTTCTTGCAAGTGATACATTTGTTCAACCAATTAATTGTACCAATAATGTTCAGSTCAAATGGTCTGCGATTTCCTGCAATTACRTCACGTAATATGTTCTTCAAACTGAAGACCAATCTGAAAGTTGTYGATGATGATGATGCACTTCACTAATCTTGCTCTAGTCAACAGCTGGCTGCTGTGTTGCAAAAATAACTAGGAACATTGAACCACCAGGAAGGCTATCATGAAGTTTCTCAATTTTTGCTTGGTAAATGCTTAGGTATTCCTCAAAAAGCACAACATTTTGAGACCCATTGTCCTCATTTGAGGACATAGTTTTTTGTGCAAAACCCACTTCCTGTACCATAACAGGGTCTAGTTATTATGCTTATTAGGTCCTACTAATCCCATGCATCTCAGAGAAAAAAAAAGCGAACATCTAGAAAAGGCTTGGGTCTCAGGAGGTTAAGGATAAAAGCTTAGGTCACGCCACAGGAGTCTATAGTGCACCCCCCCCCCCGCCAACAAAGAAAAACAAAAAGCAAATAAAATAAAATAAAAATTTCTAAATCCATATGACACATTTGTATTTCTATCCTTATTAGGACTGTTTACTGACTTCCATTAATTTCCAGTTGTTTCTACAGTCTAACCTTGTCCCCTTACCATAAACCTAACCACCCCAGTGCATACCTGACTCTAAACTTAACTTAAAATCAATTTATACCTTAGACCTAAACCCAACCCAAAAATGGAGTCCAACCATAGGAAATTTGTWCTGTTTRCTACTGATTTTAATGCATCACACTGCTGTTTTTATTTTGCCTAATCATCCATTTTTATGTTTTAAACTGTGATTTAGTCAAGACCCAGTCTAGTTTGAGTGACATGTCATGACTGACTCAAACAGAATGTGCTCTCTTTGAGGCATTTAGTTAATACAYGCCTTAATTGCACTGCCCACACATAGACATTTTGCTTATCAGTTGGCAGGAAAGTGTAAGCGAGAATCTGTTCATGTGATTAGGGAGACTTCYTCTACCAGTGTAATGTTTTCAAGTGGGCGGGGCCAGATTCTGAAGCTCATATTTCCTGATTGGTGGCCATTTTGCAGAGAAAATAAATGTCTAACTGGCCTCAGCTGGGTGGTTGTATAACATCTTCTTACACATAACATTCAAGTCTTATTTCTGTTTTTGTTCCTTGTGTATGAACACAACATTCTTTTTAAAAGTAATTACTCCAATAAAATATAAATAACCCACTTAAGTAAAGTAACTTAGTCTTTGTACTTCATTACTTGACACCTCTGTTTCAGGTGTATGTTTTGATGGAGGGGAAGTTGCAGGAATTGTAATCGGCTCATTCTTGGGGCTGCTAATCATCATCCTCCTCATCGTACTCCTTATCTGTCTTGTGCAAAGGAGGAAAGGTAGTCTATTTGTGTGTTTGTTACCATTGTGCACTCTTATGTTGTCTTTTTTAGGGGTTTTAAATATACTTTTGATTTTTAGAAAACATCCCAATAAGGRTCTTGTACACTAAACTGTCACTTATTTGTTTTGTGCTTTCAGTTCAACAAAGACGAAGGGAAAATGTGTTTTTTCAGGAGACAAATCCCAACCAAAGGCCTATTGTAAGCCACTATAAAGTTTACACATGATTCAGTATTGATTTTGTCTTTATGTCATGATGGTGCTGAAGGGCTGTTCACAAATGAACCCAATCTTTTTTTGCTCTCTCTTCCATGCCCTCATTTTTCACTTGCTCRCATCAAGCCTCCAGATCCACAAACTAATAATGTAAGGGATTTGGACCAAGGTCTTCAACCCCCTCTCTTCAGGAACACACAAACACGCCAGCCTGACCGCTTAATCACAACCCAACACGAAAGCCGTGGCAACCCACAGACTCTGCCTCTGAACGGACTGCATCACTCTGAAACAGAGCAGAGTAATAGCCGTGCAAACAGAYGTCCACAAAATGCTATTCAGAATATTAATTCACACCCGGCCAATGGCATCGACAACCCCGCTTTTGTACACACAGAGGCTCCGAATGCAAACACGCTCCCAAACCCACGGCAGCAAAATCCTAACATCCTCATTCAAACTGGAGGTGGGCAGGACGGCAACCAACACCCTGCGCTTCAAGTCAGTCTCAACCCGAACAACAACGCTCAAATTCCTACTGTTAATGTAAACTTAAACTCATATCCTGCCAACAGCCAACAGATTCTGCAAGATCGCTCATTTCCTGTTAGTCAAAATAATAATAATGTTTCACAAATGCATCATCTAAACACAATGCAATCGAATCCAACAATGCAAAGTGTCCGGTCTCATCAGATGGATCCCCGTCAGCTTGGTCGTCTATACCCACAACATCAAGCTCAGTCTGGGCTTATCCCGACTGGTTATACACATTTTAACAGCATTAACACGTCTCAGCSAAGTGTGAACACGCAGCCGTATCAGCAGGAGCCTCACAGGAGGTCTGACAGGGACTCAGGGGTGCCTGACACAACCGTGACATCCACTCGTACACAGATGCCTTGGGATCGCCTCAGAGGAACACCTGCRTACCCCACTGGCACTGTTCAAACTGTGCAGACGCTACCTGAAGTAGACTCTGACAGTGCAGACTATTCTAGAGAATACACTTCTGATCCTCTCGTAAGAGAAGAGAGAACGACGAGCAGACCTCAGCCTCAAAGCCAAACGGTTTCCCGGCGCAGAACACCACCAAGACGTGACCCACCGTCAGAGGACAGCGAGGCACGGAGCCGATCAGCCAATCGCCGTCATCCGACCGCTGCCAGTGTTCCACAGCACGAGTCCTCCCACCACACACGGAGAAGCCCCCGCACACAAAGGGAAAGTGCTCAGCCAGATATCAGAGGCAGCCAGACTGCCCCCAGGCAGGAAACAACTCACAGCAATAACCCCCAGGCACTGCCTCTCATGAGCCAGCAGGCCTCTGCAGGTCGCTCTGCTGTGCCACAGGGACCCACGGCCCAACAAGGACTCTCTGCACCGCAGAGTGCTGATATAAGAGCTTTGGCTGATCCCAATCACCTTCAGCAGGCACACATGACTCAGCAACACATAGCTGCACTGATACAAACAAGAGGACAGAACACACACACACAGCCCGCCGTGCACGGTGCCAGACAACCTCGCCAAGGGGGCATTGCTCCAATCCCAAACCCTTCTGCCCAGCCTAACCGCAGTAATCTAACCCAGGATGCACTTAGAAGCCACACTGAGAGGGCTCAAGTGTTTGAGAATCRAAGGCAGCAAACCCAGGCAGCCCTGCTTCACCCCGGCACTAATCAGATCCAAGCTCCAGCTGCGACCACCCAGCAGCCACCGACTCCTCCTCCCGTCATGCCGCTGGCACAGTTCCAGAACCTCCCCAAAGAACGTAACCAACACAGATCTCCAGCCAGAGGTGCACCTCGCCATGCCACTGCCGTGCCCACTAACCACCACCATCATCATCATACCGGACACAATCATGCTGGTGCACACAGGCATGGTCAAACCCGTGGACATGGGCACGCCGCCCACGTGACTAACCCCTGGCAGGTGAGTGACCCACAGCATGATGTGCTGAGATGACAGCAGATGTTCAGTGATATCAGGTCTACTGTCCTGTGTGCATTTGTGTTGTTTTATCTGTTTCTGCTTTTTGACTTGTGGATGTGTATAAATCTTGAAGGGTCTTTGAAAATACCTTTTATGTAGATTTTGTTGTTGTWTTTTCTCTCTATTGACAGTGCTTTAAAATGTACTCGGACGTAAGCATTTGTGACACCTTCGCAGTTTTGCAGAAGTAGCTCTGAGTGTGTCAGGGGTTCTGCCTTCTCTTCTGCATGACATGTTGCCAATGAAGGCCTTGTTGTGTCTTTCCAGCAACAAGCCCACAGAGGAAGACCAAGATGATGACAGATGACAGCGGATGACACTCTACAAATGTCCCGCATGCACTGCCACAAACAAACAGCTGACAGACGCAATCCAATATTCCACCAAGCAAGACTGACTGCGCTGAGTTCTGCTTTTGAAAAAAAGCTGTCACACACTGGTGTGTCAGTCCTGAACACTTTTTATTTTGTTTTATTTCATATTTTTAAGAAATGAAAACGTCTCCCGTGGGGCTGACAACAGTTGTTTTGACAAAGTTTTTGAATGTTGTCCTTCTTTTCTGAAAAGAAACTTGAAATGCTCAAAACACACACACTATTCCCCCAGACTGTTTTCATTTCTGACACACTGGCCACACATCAAAATCTGCCCAGAGCCTGCTCAAAAAAAAAGTTCAGTGATCAATGGCTGCTGGAGAAGTTCACATCCKATCATCCATTCATCAACAAGGCAAAAACAACACTCCCCCGTGATAAATTGCACATGAAAAAGTTGCATGAATGTCTGTGAGCACCTGAGCCGGCAGAGACAGACGGTAAATGGGAAGGCACAAAGATGGACTCGACTGCTGGGAGTGGTGACAGTTATGAAGGAAGAAATTAGCAGTGGGGGGTGTTGGGGTGGTCCTGACTCGCATGGAGCTATTTATTTTCCGCCTTCTGTTAGCGGATGCCTCTTCTGACACTTCTCAATTAAGAGGATTCGCCTCGCTGGTGCTCGGAAATAACGCTCGGCTCAGTACGGGGGGGGGATCCCATGAATGGATGGGTGCTTATTAATTAAATGCTTTTATGTGACTTAAATGACTTGGGGAAAAATAATCACACTCAGGCATGAATGAGGTCACCACAAAAACCTAAACTGCCAGGCTTTCAGCTGTGGAAAAAAAAGAAGTCACAGGGTTAAACATGTTGTTTTTTACAATTGTATTTATTTGGAATGGTTGCATTTTTAAAATAAAAGGTGTGCAGGTATTCTTTTTTTAAGGTTTTAGATTCATACATACAGGTCAACATCCTCGGATATTTACCTGTGCGTAAATCTTCAAAAATATGTAATTTTCATGCATGCACGCACACAAAATTAAATCCATAGTACCTGACATGATATAAGCTGAGGAGGGGGTGGTTACCAGAGTGGCACGACACCGCCCACCCTTTCCTCCTACTCACTGCCCCCTAAACCCAAACTGACCAAAAAGCACTGAGTTTTGTGGCACAACACCATAGCTGTGGTGCTGCAGAGGTAGTTAATTCATCTTATTTAATTATTTTAAACATCTTACAGGCTCTGAGATGTAAAATACATTTGAAGTTGAGGTTTGGTTACAATCTGTGCGGTAATGAACACAAATTGCACGAACAAGCAGGAAAATCCAGAATCATGTGCAGGATTTTTTAAACCGTGTCCTGTCTGGCAATGTGAATCTCAAAATTGATGTCTGAGTGTCCAAACGAAGCCCAACAGTTTTACAACCCCTGGCAAAAAGTATGGAATCACCACTCTTGGGTGAGCACTCATTCAGACATTTCATTCTGTAAAACAAACTCAGATCAAAAACATGATACAATAATAAGGTCATTCCAAAGTACAACTTGTTGGCTTTCAGGAACACTCAAAGAAATGAAGAGAAAACATTGTGGAAGTTAGTGAATGTTACTTTTATTGACCAAGCACGGGCAAAACGTATGGAATCACTCCATTCTGAGGAAAAATGTATGGAATCATGAAAAACAGATAAAAGACCATTCAAAATACATCACTGGTATTTAGTTGCACCACCTTTGGCTTTTATAACGGCTTGCAGTCTCTGAGGCATGGATTTGATGAGTGACAAACTGTATTCTTCATCAGTTTGGTGCCAACTCTTTGATAGCAGTTGCCAGATCAGCTTTTCAGGTCGGAGCCTTCTTTGGACCATTATTTTTTCAGTTTCCACCACAGGTTTTCAATTGGGTTGAGATCTGGACTATTTGCAGGCCATGACAACGACTGAATGTGTCTTTTTCCAAGGAATGCCTTCACAGTTTTTGCACTATGGCACGATGCATTGTCATCTTGGAAATTTATTTCATCACCTCCAAACATCTGTTCAATTGAAGGGATGAGAAAACTGTCCAAAATGTCAATGKNARYKTGTRYATTGATAGAAGAATGAACCACAGTCATCTCCCCAGTGCCTTTGCCTGACATGCAGCCCCATATCATCAAGGATTGTGGAAATTTGGTTGCTTTCTTCAGGCAGTCCTCTTCATAAATCTCACTGCAACGGCACCAAACAACAGTTCCAGCATCATCACCTTGTCCAATGCAGATTATTGACTCATCACTGAAGATAACTTTCATCCAGTCATCCACAGTCCATGTTTGCCTCTCCTTAGCCCATTGCAGTCTTGTTCTTTTTTGTTTAGGTGTCAATGATGGTTTTCTTTTAGCTTACCTGTATTGAAATCCCATTTCCTTTAGGCGATTTCTTATGGTTCGGTCACATACAATGGCTCCAGCTTCCTCCCATTTATGCTTCATCTGTCTAGTTGTACTTTTTCAGTTTTCAAGACAAATGGCCATAAGTTGTTTGTCTTGATGCTTTGATGTCTTTCTTGGTCTACCAGTACACTTGGCTTTAACAACCATTCCATGCTGTTTGTATTTGGTCCATATCTTGGATACAGCTGACTGTGGACAGCCCACATCTTTAGCAACCATGTGTGAAGAGTTACCTTCTTCAAGAAGTTTTACAGTCCTCTCTTTTGTTTCAAGAGACATTTCTCTTGTTGGAGCCATGGTTCTTGCCACTCCACTTCGTCCAGCAGCCCTCCAAGGTGTCATGACTGCAGGTGTTTTTAACTGCAGACTAACAAGCAGATCTAATCTGAGGCAGGTGTCCATTTAGGGAAAGGACATTGACTGGGTTTTTCCTCATTTTCCACCTCCAATTTGAGTGATTCCATACTTTTTTCCTCAGAATTGAGTGATTCCATATATTTTCCCCTGTGCTTGGTCAATAAAAGTAACGTTCATTGACTTCCACAATGTTTTCTCTTCATTTCTTTGAGTGTTGCTGAAAGCCAACAAGTTGCCCTTTGGAAAGACCTTATCATGACCGTATCATGCTTTTGATCTGATTTTGTTTTACAAAACGAAATGTCTGAATGAGTGCTCATCCAAGACTGGTGATTCCATACTTTTTGCTAGGGGTTGCACTTTCACAAGTGCAGCATAATGGTATTTCACCATAATGCTCCATTTGATATACCTTTTATTATAAATTCTTTAGGGATTAATTTGTTATAACTGACATGGGGACTAAAAAAAAGTAAACACAGAAAGGAAAAGTGAGAAAAGAAATGGAAAGGCAAGCAAGAAGATATGAGAGATGCATTAAAAAACGCAAGACAACACATTTGTAGTCTGACTCCACACCTGCAACAAGAAAAAATACATAAACACAGCAACAAAATGAGTATATAATAATAATAATAATAATAATAATAATAATAATAATAATAATAATAATAATAATAATAGCCTCACTGAAAAGTACTCTGTAAATTTTATGAGTAGATGATAATATTAATAAAATACACTGCTCAAAAAAATAAAGGGAACACTACTGCTCAAAAAAAAATAAAGGGAACACTTAAACAACGCACGCTAAGTCCAAGTAAATCAAACTTTTGTGAAGCACATTCAACTCTGTACAGAACAAAGTACTCAATGTGAATATTTCATTGATTAAGATCGGGAGTTAGCGTACATTGTTTGTTTCCTTTATTTTTTTGAGCAGTGTATATAGATACATACACACACATACATATATACTTATTTCCACACTACACATTTAGTGGCCAATACAGTCCCAACAATGAATGTATCTAAGAAACCCCTGGATCTTAACACYTGTTTGTGTGCGGTTGTGAGCTTGCATGTAGGGGTTAGACAATGAAACAGAAACACCTGGTTTTAGACCATAACATCCCCTTCAGACAGCTTCCTCTTGCATCCACAGTTARTCCTGTTGGATGTGGTTGGTCCTTCTTGGTGGTATCCTGACATTACCCTGGATACTGTGGCTCTTGATACATCACAAAGACTTGCTGTCTTGGTCACAAATGCTCCAGCAAGATGTGCACCAACAATTTGTCCTCTTTTGAACTCTGGTATGTCACCCATAATGTTGTGTGCACTGCAATATTTTGAGCAAAACTATGCATATATATATATACATACACTGTATATATTCATCCTTAAACATCACTCTGACTAATCTATAAGCCACATGAACAAATGCAAAACACATCTGGTGTTTCTAGTTGAACATCTGCGGTAAAAAACTAGCTTATTTACTGTCTTTATGCAAAATGATGAATATAAACAGCCCAAACAGATGTGAGAAGCTGAAAGCAGTTTTATTTTTGTTTGTATTCATTGTGAGAAAATTTTAAAGAGAAAGTTTTTTTTTTTGATGCATTATATTTGATCTGTAAAAAAAGTATTTTTTACTTGTGTTTTTACAAAGCCTCAGTGGATTTTAATAGCCTGCTGCCATCCCAGTGGGGTCACTTGTTCGGACTGTTCACAGGACTTTATTTTATCATTTTTTCCATGAAAAAACAAGAAACTAAGTTTGTCTTTCGTCCCCCCCCCCMCCCCCGCCGAAAAAAAAACAACTCTTGAAACACGTCAACAGTTCAGTCCACAGAACCCACCAGTTCATTCAGGTGCTTCTCTGAATCATGAAGTTGTTTGCTGCCTGAACATATTTCTGCTCTCTGTGTCTGCTCTGATAATTATTCACGGCGTTCGTGCGCACCGAGTGCCGTGGCTCAGATAAATCTACTCCTCGCGCTTGTTGTACCGAGCTCGTGTTTGGATCACAGCTCCATCCGTCTCCTGCTCCCACTTCTACGTCACGTCTGATGAAAAGTCCTGCTGCTCACTATCGGAGACACTTCACGGTATACTAGCACTGTAATGAGTGAAGATGGAGTGCGTTTGAGTACCTGCACCAGAATAGCTCCGAGCGTTCGCCTTCCCCCGGTTCCAGGCGAAAGCTGTGATTTATGAAAAGTTTGAGGCCATTTTACAAATGAAGTACTTTTTGTAATACTCTGCGCCTGCTGTCTTCGCAGTGAAGTGTGCTGTTTATGGCCCGAACAATTCGCAGGAAATTGCAAGACGTTTTGTTTGCGAAAAACACAACGCTGTAAAGCTGGAAACCTGATGCTGCGACCTCCTCTGGAACCATTTGCATGCAAATCTGCTGGTTTTGCCTTAGTGCGCTGATTTACTGTGATTTACTGTGACACCCACAAGTAATTGTAAATGTTTACTCAGCCCTTCGGAGGCATAAATTAAAGGAAAACATAACTCAGGCACTGTGTCTGCAAATTGGGCATGTTTTTGTATTGATGAATGCTGGTTTTGGTATTTATCAAACTGCAAGCTTTTCCTACTTAAGTGTGAATTGAGCCAGTAAATTTTTCTCAGGGGGTAAAAAAAGAGGTTTCTCACTGAAATGAGCTGAAAAGATCACAGAAAACCTGCTGACCTTTGACCTCTGTTTGTAAAACAGCTCGTATTTATAACTCAGATTTTTCATACGTGTAATATTTGATTACATTTTGCAGTTTTATCCTTTGCTTTAACCTCTCTGTGTTGCATCATCCTACAACTCTAGGAAACAGAAGCTCACAAAATGCAAATCCCATCCTGAAACCTCTCTGTGGCAAACTCTTCATGCCTCTTCACCCACAAGGGGGAGCCGTGTGAGAGGAATTCTGAGGCCCATCGATCAAATTCATTTGATTTCGTTTTGCTTCTAAAGACCTTGACCACGTGTTTAAGTCACATATTAGGATGCAAGTCTGGCAGAGAAAAAGAAAAAAAAGCAGCAACAAGAAAACCCTCTGTTTCCACAGACGTGTTGTTGTTTTTTTAGTTGTTTAAAGGTGAACTGCTGCCTTCAGGGGTA